CATCGTCATTGTGGCCTGCTCCCTTTCCCCAGAGACCAGGCACCTGGCCTAGGAGACACTGCTGGTGAATGAGGACTTCACCATGGTCCTTGCCCTGCTGACAGTAATCCCTGCTGTCCTGTGATGTGGCATGGCTCCCCTTCAGGATGTCCTGATGAGAAAGCCCAGTCTTTCCTGGTTCTGTATGCATATCACCATAGCACTGTCATTGTGACTTTTTGAAATATTTTTGCTGGTGATTTATTTCTGCTTGGCAGTTGTCACCCTTTTCTTTTGGGTATATCTCATGATGTGTGTCATTCATTCCCATGCATCTACTTTGATGCATCCCTCTCCCGCCTGGGGTTTTAAAGCAGCATGCACCGTAGTTGCCTGCAATGCTCCGACATAGGGATTGCTCAGGACTGGGAACCCCAGGCCCTCCATCACTTGAGGGAGGGTTCGTCTGCTTTGCCTTCTCTGCTCCTCACTGGCATTGTGGGACGCATTGACACTTTGGCTGCTGTGGAGCACTGCGGGTTTGGGTGTGCACTCAGACCTCTTCCAGCTTGGAAGTCGGATGTTCCTCTGCACTGTGCCCTTCAAGGTGCTTCTCTCTGCTCTGTCTTCTAACAAATCTTGTTAGTGTGGGCAGGAAAAGGGGTGCGCCCTGGGATGAACTGGGGGATCAGTGCAGTAGGGAAACATTTTCTTCTTTGGGGTCAGAATCCCATAATACCAACAAATAGCTAACTAAGCTTTCTTCTTATAAACTTAGTGCTGTGTACTACATTTTACTTTATAAGATAGATCCTCAGAGCATCTTGTTTCTGTTTTCAGGAACCTTGTGCCCACTGTGGGGGCTCTGGTGTGCACTTTGTTCATAAAGCCTTGAAGTTCTGTTCTGTTCTGTTCTGTTCTGTTAGTGACAAGCCTTTTCTTGTAGTTTAAAGTGAGACTGCCTCTGCTAGTTCTCCTTCAGAAGAGGTGAGGGTCTGTTGGCGCAGCCAACCTTGTGCAGTATTTTTGTGAAGATCACTAAATTTGAGGTCAGGAGTCAGCTGTGCCCTTGCCCTGGGATGGGGCACTGTGCTCGCCATTGCCTTCAGATACCGTTGCTCTTCTATAAAATGACCAGTGTGTAATGATTGACCTGACGTAAGAATACTAGGCATAGACCTAGCAAAGTACGGTTCTGGTGTTCTTCGTTGTCTGTGTCTCTGAAAATAATAGGCTAAAGCACATCTTAATTAAGGTAGTTTTATTTGGAAATCTGTAATAAGAACGAATACACTGTAATTACAATTCAAGATCCCTGGTACTCTTCAGAAACACAGGACTTAAGAAAGTGGTAACATTTAGTGCTAGCGAGCTATGGCTGAGACTGAGAATGCTCTCATGTTAGGAATTTTCCACTGGGGAAACCTTTTAGCTAATTTCTGGTTTTTTTAAAATAAAGATACGAGAAGTGGAGAAAAAGGGACATGAAGTGTGAGAGAAAGCTTTGCTAATTCTGGCGCTTCTCTTTTGGTGTGGTTCATTCTATCCTGTCATTCACTGTGTGATGTAGCCCTGGAAGGTTTTCTTATTTGGGGATGGAGTAGCAGCTTTCTTGAATTAGAATTACCATACAGTTCACCCATCCAACTTGTAACATTCAGTGATTCTTTTTGCGTATCCATATCTTTGCAACCAATTTTAGAATACAGATCTTCACCCCAGAAAGAAAGTGCACCCTTTCAGTCTTACTCCCTCTCTCCGAACTTTCCCCACACTCCCAGTACCTGGTGACAGCTTGTTTGGGTTGCCTTAAGGGAACACCTGAGATGGGATAGCTTGCAGAGCCAGAGCGGAGCAGAGCCTGAGCCCGGATCTTCTCACAGTTCTGAAGGCTGGAGAGTGCAGGGTCGAGGCTCTGACATCTAGGGTGGGGTGAGGGGTGGGAATATTGTGTCCTCAGAGTAGAGGGGTGACAGAAGCCATTCCCCTAAGCTCTTTCTGTAGTGGTACTAACCCATTGGTGGTGAACTGAGCGCTTTTGGGAGGCCCCACCTCCCCAGTAGTATTGGGGATTGAATTTCAGCATGAGTTTTGGAGGGTACAGAAGTGTTCCAGCCTCAGCATTGGGTAGCAGTCCGGTCCTACAGATTGGCTTACCCTAGAGCTCCCCTATAAATGGAATCATACTGTGACCTTCATCTTTCATTTCGCATAGTATTTTCAGGGCTCAGCCTTGTGGTAGGGATTTTGGAACTTCGTTCCTTTTCATTGCCTGATTGTATTCCATTGTCTGTGACACATTTTATTTTTCTGTTCATCAGTCGATGTATATTTGGGTGTTTCTACTTAAAGGCTGTTGTGATGAATACTGCTGTGAACATTTATATACTAGTGTTCATATGGGCATGTTTTCATTTCTCTTGGGTAGAATTGCAGGAGCATGTGGAAACTGTTTAACCTTTAAGCAGCTGCCAAGCCATTTTCCAGATTGGCAACTACACCATTTTATAATCTTGCCTAGTAATAGTTTCTGAGAAGTTCGAGTTTCTCCACATTTCTCCCCAGCGCTTCTTGTCTGTATAGTTGTCTTGCACATGTTTGATTTGTACTCCCTGATGGCTAATGGGGATGAGTATCTTTGCATGTGCTTAATGGCCACTGTGTATCTTTGGGAAAATGTCCATTTAAACATTTGTGTTTTTTTTTAATTGGGTTATTAAGTTTTATTTATCCCTGAGTCGTAGGGTGCTTTATATTCTAGATAGAAGTTCCTTGTGTGTTATAGGAGGCCTGTCAGTCCTCCATTCTGCCTAGAAAGAGGGGCACCGAGAAAGAAAGACAGTAGAGATTTGTGTAATTTTAAAGTACATGGGGGTTGGGAGGTCATTGCCTCAGTGGGCAAAGACAAAAACTCCGAGCTAGCCACTATTTATTGGGTGCACACAATAATCAGAGGGAGTATCGAGTGACTCAGAGGGCGGTCATGAGGATCTTAGGTTGATGAGCATCTTATGTTGATGAGGACAGGGAGATGAGCAAAGCATTCTTACAATAGTAGGTGGGACAAGATAGCAGGCTAATAAGGAATCTGTCCTTCTCTCAGGTGAAACCTTTTTCTTTTTTTATTACTACTCAGTTCTCAAAGAACCAGTATGTCTTCTGCTGATATATTCTTGCCCTTGAGCATCACAGTATTGTGGGACCACTGAAGCCTCAACTTGTGAACGGAGGCAAAACCAAGTTGTTTCCCCATACCCATAGCTGGCTTTCAGGCAAGAAGACATTGGGCCTTAGACATCCCTAGTCAAAATTTAATTATGAAATTATTTTTTCCCCAAATTATATAGAATGGCTCTTGACATACATGTATTCCCAAAGGCTTTTGTGTATTCAGTACATGGTTTCTTATAATAACCAACTGGATTGAGGACCTATTCTGAGTCAGCTCTGCCATGGCAACTATAGAAGAATTATTTTTTGATCCTCATTAATAATAACCCAGAAGTGGAGATAATAACTATACTTAGTTTATGTTAAGCAAAAACGTAAGCCCAAGGAAGTTAAGAACTAGCCAGGTCAAGCTATGAGTAGGTAGTGTGTAAGGTCCGAGTCACACTTGGGCCTCCTGTATGCCCAGCCTGGCCTCTGTGCCAGGGCGTGTGCCCATGGCGAGCTTTGTGCCCCTGAACTGGAGCTGGGAGTGCCTGAGTGCCTGGCATGTGGGTTTCAGCTGTGCATGTTCATACTGTGTCCAGTCTGCAGGGTTGGGGGCTCTCCTGTCTCTGAGTTCCTGTGTCTGCACTGCACTGGGTTCCTCAGTGTGTGCTCTGCACAGTCCACTGGGCCTTGATTTCCTCTGGATGAAATGTCTTTCATAGATGAGCCTTAGCTTAGTAAAAGCAGGGCTGAATTAGGACTCCGGGGAATTACACATGGTGAGTTTGGCTGTTATGTAAGAAGGAACAGCTGAGCAGCTGAAGCCCTCCCCCAGGGGGATCAGGTGCCTGATGTCCAGCTTTCCAGAACTGCTCCATTCACACAGCAGCAGAGGACTGTGTTCCCAGATGTCATAGAATGCCTTTCTGTCCCAGGAGGACTGGACTGGACACCCTTGGGCTGGGAAGGCCATGCTCCTGCCCAGCCAGCAGATAGTACCTCATAGAGCAGGGTGGCATCTTCATGCTCTGGCTAAGGTTTTGAAGTCTGAATAAACAGTACTAAACTCTGGAAAACTGTAAGATAAAACCATCCTTAGCCTTCAGAATGTAATGTCCTCTGAAAAATATACTTCTAGGATGTAAGAGAGAATAAAGGGGATAGATGTGATCAAAATATGTTATATGTATATATGAAAATATCCCATTGAAACCCAGTATTTTGTAAAAATTAATAGGCACTGGTGAGTGTGGTGCCACACACCTGTAATCTCAGCACTTGGGAGGCTAAGGCAGGAAGATCGCTGTGAGTTTGAGGCCAGCCTGCGCTACATAGTGAGTTCAAGGTCAGCCTGAACTACATAGCAAGACCCTGTCTAAAAAAAATAATAATAATTAATAGGCACTAATAAAATATAGCTTAAAAAATAACTAAAAGTTGGCTAGCTAGAAGGGATAATAGGCTTCCAGACTGAAAATAATTGTGGCATAGTCAGGTATAAAAGCAATAAATGAAGTTAAATTTTAGTTTAAAAAACACTTCTAACTACTCAGACCCATGTAAAACTTTGAGTTTTTATTATAGAAAGGACTGTTTAGTATGTACTCTGAATTCAGGCATATCTGTCCTGGAGTCTCCTCTCCATGGTGTTTGCAGGCCGGCCTGGGTGGTGACCTTATCACATGTGTCTCAGTCTCCACATCTGGAACCTGGGGATACTGGCATCTCCTCTGAAGAGCTGTACGGATCCTGTAAAGTCTGTCTGACTTGTAGTGCTCAGGAAATCTTTATTTTTGAGGACGGGAGGATGAGGGACTTAGATAGTCATTATAATAATGTAACCTTACGTTTGAATTTTTTCTTAGAGGAAACACAAGAATAGAAGAGGCTTGTGAAATGTATACCAGAGCTGCAAATATGTTCAAGATGGCTAAAAATTGGAGTGGTATGTACAAACTTTTTGTTTGTTTGCTTTGCAGACAAATATTTAAAAATCATTTTGTGGGAGGGCAAGACTGTTTTATTCCTCATGAAGTGTGAGACTTGGCTGGAGACAGGTGTCAGTGCCACAAGAACCATGACTTGGTGAATCGAGCTGGAAACCTGGCTCCAAGTTTAAGCACACAGCAATGTCTGCTTTAATGTTTGCTAAACTACCTAATACGATAAGCTTGAGGTAACTAAAGAGAGTTAACATGACAGAATTAGAGTAATCTTTGCTTCTTACAAATGTGCTTAAATAAGTAAGTGGCAAAGGAAAGAGATTGCAGCGAAACTCATTAAAGCTAGCAGGATAAATGAAAGTGCCTGGTTTTCTTTCTGTAAGCATTGTTGGGAATTTCTAACTGTTCCCTGCTCTGAGATGAGTGACTGAGTCCCCCAGGAACTGCCGCTCTGGGTGTCTTTGGAAACCCCCAACAGACAGACGCTCCTTCTTGCGTATGTAATGCCTTCTCCCCTGAAGTCACAGGACAGAATCAGCAGGATTATTCTTTGACCTGTGAGGGGATGCCCCGTTCTAATAGTGACTTGAGAGAAAGGTACATCCTCTTCCCCCTGGAAGAGAATGTTTCAGGGCTCAGTTAGTGCTACCTACCTGCAGACCTGGTCCCTAGGCCCTCACATACTGGCTGCCAGATGGGAGGTGTCTCCCTTGCCTTCGGCAAGCTGTTTCCCCATTTGCCTTCAGGGCAGTTACTTTAAAGTCATTTCAAAGGAAAAGTGCTTCCTTCTTTATAACTTTAGTTGTGGGTAGGGCTGTAGTTAAAAAGGTGATACTACGTTTTCGAAATGCACTTATGTCTGAATTATATTATATTGAAAAATGGAAGGGAAGAAAGTATTGTCCTAGAATCCCCATCCAGTAATCCTAAGTTAAAAAGTGATCATTCTGAAATGCAAGTGGGTTGAATGTGAAGGTTCAGAATTAGGGAATTAAAGTGAATTAAAAATGTAAAAACATTAAAACTATAAATTTCCAGGGCAGCTCAGTGGTTCCAACACCTCCCTTGCAAGCACAAGGTCCCAAGTTCGATCCCCAGTACAAAAAAAAAACACCTGTGAATTTCCCTTCTTTGATTAAAAAATCTTTCTCTTCTGTATGAGGAAAAAAAAGTTATCTTTCCTAAGACGAGTACATAGTTAATGATCTACTGAGCAGATAGTCTCCCTCCCTGGAAACCCTACTTCCCTGCCGTCTGTCCCCTGGGCTGATGTGCCATCGCTGTTGTGCTTTCTCACCCTGTCCCCTTCCTGTCTAAGTCATCCCCTGCTTGCTGCCTTGTGCCCCCCTGCAGCCACCTCAGAGCCTTTGCACTCGATGTTCCTCTGCCTGCACACTTTTCTCCTAGATAGAATGTGGCTGGTTCCCTGCTTCCTTCAGGCTCTTCTCCAAAATCATCTTTGAGCACTCTTCCCTGGGCACTCTTAAAACAGCAGTCTCCTTCTTGGAAACTTCCTTCCCTTTGCTCCAGTGCTCTTAATCATGGGCTAGCAAAAATAAATGGGGTATGTCGTATTTCAGTTATTTATATTTGTGTTTTTGTTGCTTAGCAGCTCTCATTAGAATATAAACTTCAGAAGAGCAGGGTGTCTGTTTTATCCGTGCCATGTCTCCAGACCCAGATATGTGTCTGCAGCATAGCAGGTGTTCATTGTATTTGTTGGTGAATAAATAAACACCAGTCCATGGTGCAGTGGTGGTAATCATGACACCATTGCATCTCTGTGTGATTTTTTTTTTTTTTTTTGGTACAGGGGATCGAACTTGGGATCTTGCGCTTGCAAGGCAGGCGGCAGCACCACTGAGCTAAATCCCCGGCCCTCTGTGTGATTTTTAAAGTATTTTATAGTACACAAATGCCTTTGATAGCTCAGCTTTGAGAGATCATTATGGCAAGTATTAGGCCAGTTTTACAGATAAGGAAATTTAGCCTGAGAAGTTGGATGCTTTCCTAGAGACCACTGAGTATGGTGCTCCTTGAAAGACACTTCCAGGCCTGGAAAGACCAAGCTGGCATTGCCAGCAGTGATTGGAATAGGTCCTCGGAGTGAAATGCAAGTCAGAGGCCAGCTGGGACGGTGTCAGAGTGAAGGACTTGCACCCCGTGGAGAACGGAGGCAACCTCAGAGAGCCTGGGAATTGTAGTTTCCACTCAGCAGTGGACAGAGAGACCAAAATTGGTTCTGGGACAGTGAACATGAAGTATTAAAAATGCAGTACTAACAGGAGAGAAGGGTGTAAGTTGTAAAGAAGCGATGACATTTAAACCTGTTGGAGCCCAGATGGAGCTATGGGTAGATTTGCACAGTAATGGAAGTGGTGACCTTGTACGACCTGGGCCAGGCCCTTCCAGGCACTCACCGAGGTGCGAGTGCCTGTGCTACTCTTAGGAGGCAGAGTCCTCGGAGCTACTGTCCAGCTGGCATCTCCTGCACTGCCTCTTGGTGGTGAGCCACTGCCTGAGCACCCTGGGCACAGCCCTGGCAGGGGCCTGAGCCCAGAAGAGGGCTCAGGCCCCATGAGTCACCAGGGGCCAACACGGGCTCTGCAGGGCCAGGACAATGTCTGCTTCGAGTGGTCAGAGCCTCCTTTTGTCTGGAAACTACTGTAGCCTGGGTAATTTATAAAACACAGAAACTTCCTGCACACAGTTCTGGAGCCTGAGAATGAGGATCAAGGGGGCAGCAGACTTGAGAGGGCTGTTCTGTCTATAAGGTGGCAGATGGGACAAGGCAGCTGCTGTCAGCATCCTTCATGAGGGTGCATGCCCATTTTTGAGGGCAGAGCCTGATGAGTGACTTAACCATGTCCCCAAAGCCCCTACTCCTGATGCTGTCCCCAGACACATTATGCCCCACACAGGAATTCTGGGGGAACATCAGCATTCAGATCAGAGCAGTACTGGTGTCGGACTGGCGGTTTAGTGTCTTCACAACTGCCTGGTACTCTTTTCATCAGAAACTGAGGCTCCGAGCAGGAATGGCCCTGGGCAGGCCGACTCCAGGTTTTGTGCAGCTGCTTTCACCCAAAGTGGAAGTCCAGAACCCTGTGTGGTAATCGGGTGGCACCTCTGAAGAGCAGCATAGGACAAAGGATGCAGCTGAAGCTTTGGCACAACTGAATGCTTTATTTCCTACAAGGAAATCCAAAGCAGATGTTTAGCCTTACCATTGGGTATTGCTGTATGATTAAAAATGTTTTAGATCTGTTTTGTTTTTTTTTTTGAGTCAGGGTCTCCCTTTGTAGTCTGGGCTGACCTCAAACTCTTGATCCTCCTTAGCCTCCTGAGTGCTGGGATTGCTGGTGTGCTTCAGCACACTTGGTGTTGATTCTGACTCCTTTTATAATCACCAGCCGCACTTGACTATGCTGATTCAGGCTCCGACTGAAATGCCGCTTTCCAGGAGGGCCAGCAGTTGCGTCCTGGCTGTGGTGCCAGGCGTCTCATTCCTCTGTGTCTCACATGTTGTCTTCCTCAGCCGCAGGAAATGCATTTTGTCAGGCCGCCAAGCTCCACATGCAGCTTCAGAGCAAGCACGACTCAGCCACCAGCTTCGTGGATGCCGGAAATGCGTACAAAAAGGCGGACCCCCAAGGTAAGGCAGCTGCTGAACTGACTTCTGTGGAACTGTGAACCAGGTTCCTTCAGCCTTCTGAGTCCTCTAAAAGGAATTTGATTGCCTTCTGGAACGCTGGAGGAATGTGGTAACTGTAGACGGTTTTATTCTTTAATCCTTTGGAAGCTTTTATGTAGAGAAAGTATTTTAATTTATTGTAGCTGTGTAGTCATCAAGACCATTTTCATAAACTCCATGTATGTTACATTTTGGAGACTCTTTGAAAATTACCATTAATTTTATCTAACACTTCTTATATCTCAGTTGTACAAAATATGGTTTTAATCAAACAAGGAAAGTTTGCTGTTCACCTTTTCCTGAATACCCAGTGAGTTTTAAGATCTATTTTGCCGGGGCTTTAGCCCAGTGGTTCTGGTGCCTGCCTCGCAAGCTCAATGTCCCGAGTTTGATCCAAAGACCTATTTGGTGGTGGATTGTTATATCCAGTGGTGAAAAACATCGCTTAGCCACACAATGTTCATTTGTTTTTTTAGTATATTTCAATTTTTTTTCATTTTTTTATTATTTTAATTTAATTTTTTTTGGTACTGGAGATCGAGTTCAAAATTTTTGTTTTGAAAAAATGAAGTCAGATATTTAAAGTGGTAAAAATTTGCAATTGTTCTTCTTTTTTAGTTGGAAAAGCATATGTAGCAATTAAAAGTATTAATATCTTTCCTCCCGCACATGCATGGATAGCTTTGAATCTCCTTTTTTTCTTTGAGCCCTCCATTTTGTTTAACACACAGATCCCAGCTTTTATGGACAGGCCATAAAAAAATAAGATGTCTCCAAGGCTTTTATATAAAGATGGTCACAGCTCATTGAAGATGGAACGTATTCTGCAGAAGCTCTGGGGGCCCAGAGTGAACTTAGAATGTAGTATAATCCCTTATTTCAGATGCTTCTGTGGCCTGTGAATGTTCACATTGTAATTAAAGAGCCAAATGAGAGGAAAGCAGTCCGAATGCTGGTGCTGGGGAGGGGTGTGTGTGAGATTGGAGGTTAACTTTTTTTCTATAGTTTTTATGGTTTCATGGTGAGTCTGCATTTTCATATAGTTACTAGAGAAATTGCTTTTAATTTTTTGTCATTCTGCTTACTTTTCTAATTCTGGGGTCAAGCTTTTCTGTGTTGCTGCCTTTTTCAAGACAAAAGTGATCAACTTGGAGCTGTCAGCCAGGTGGCAGCAGTGTAAATACCACCACTGTGTGATGGGGAAACTTTCCATTTTAGAAAATCATTATTACTGTCCATTAGACTTTTTCCTTCCTTTTGTGACAGTGCTAGTCCACCGGAAATTGACACCTTTGAGCATATACAGGTTGAGCATATTCAGTGTTCAGTTTCACTGAACCGTTGTGTAAACAGGTGTTTCAGAGCACATTGGGTTTTTGCTGCATGAAGGTAGACTCTAGACGGAAGAGCACTTTTACTTACATGTGTTAGCAGGTGTAATTGTCAATGGGGGTGACAGTCCCCAGTTTGTCACCTGGATAGAGTCCTCATCTCAAGGTTACAAGTAACTTAGCTGCTAGCATTCCAGCCCTCTCGCTCAGTTACACTGTTGCTGCTGGCCTTGTGCATGACTTGTATTTGCTGTTCCCTAACTGCTGCCCTACGCCCCCAATGGTACTTCATTGCCACTCTAATGACAGCCAGGAAGACAGGCTCACCTGAATCCTCTGTGACTGAATGGATTTTTCATTGTTTTTCTTAAATGCCTACGCTTCAGAGGCTATCAACTGCTTAAATGCAGCCATCGACATTTACACAGACATGGTAAGACATTGCCTTGCTTGATGGCTGTGGGGTGGAGGCCCTGAGATGGCTTAGAGTTGTATTTTTGTTCTGTTCCCAAGCTGATTGGCATTCAGATAGGTGAAGCTGGTGTGTGACTCTGGTCTTTTGCCCCCAGGGAAGGTTTACAATCGCAGCCAAGCACCACATCACCATCGCTGAGATCTATGAGACTGAGCTGGTGGACATTGAGAAGGTAAGCACTGGACATAGCTCCCCATGACCTCTGTATGAAGTGGGTGGACAGGAAGCCCAGGAACTGCCCCTCTGCCCCACTGGCTGGCATGGCAGAGTGGTCACACAGGGCTGAGTGGGGCGACTGTTTTCCTGAGTGGAACAGAGCCTAATGGACCCTTCCCCTCACCTCGAGCCTGCATGCTGCAGTTCACCAAGGGGTCCCTGTCAATAGCAAGTATGTCTTTGGGTTCCCACTTCTAGAGGGGCAGCAGGGTCCTTGCTTGTGCATGGTTGCCACGCCCATGAGCTTAGCTGTGCTCCTCCTGCCTCCCCTGCACCTTGTGCACCCAGGGCCTCTTGCTTCTCTCATTCTCCTTACCACGTGCCAGGTGAACTCCTGCCAGGACCTTTGTGTTGGCCATTCCCTCTGCCTGCAGAACTCTTCTTCAGATGTCTGTGTGGCAACTCTTTACATCTCTCATGTCCATATGGCTGGCTTCCCCACATCCTTCAGTCTTTGCTGTTTATCACCTTTTCCATGAGGCCCATCATGGCCACTGAGTTCAGATTCTCACCTTAGCACATCAAGAATACCCTCCCCTGCCTCACTAAGCTTTTCCTCTTGCTTGGCAATACGTGCATCTCCTTGCCACGTGCATGTGACGTGCCTGCTCCTGTTCCATCCATAAGACTCTGCCCTGCTTCTCTTGTGGTCCCCATGGCATAGAGCCCTGGTAGAAGGCTCTGGGTGTGCCAGTGCTGGGTAAGCACCCGCACTATCCCTGACCCAGCAGGTGGAAGGGAACCTCTGAGCAGTACCAAGGCTGGGTGGCATGGCTGACATTCACCCTTTTGAGTTTACCACCTGCCCGTTGGCTACTGTACACATTTCTTACTTGCTACATAATGTTCATTCTTCCCCTGCTCCCATAATTGCTGTGCTTTTCAAGGAAGCTCTGAAATTCCAGTAAACTGGGGGCACGTGCACCTTGGCATATATGTGTGTTGCTCTCGAGAAGGTCCCTTGTGGGTCCTAGGGCCTATGGGATTTTCCTGTAGGGGATGAGTGCTGGGCAGGAGGGAGGCAGAGCCTGCCCTGGATCAATGGTCAGGGCTGGTTATGACATCTTTATGAGGTGAAATGAGTGGCCAAGGACAGCACTGCGCAGCGTCTTCCTGGCTTGGATTCCTGGTCTGTGGTAGTCAGAGGAGCACTGTGGGGCAGGAGCCATGGTCTTGTGGCAGTTCTGCACCTGGGCGTGGTCCCAGGTAAGCACTTCACCACATGGGTCTCCAAAAAAGTGGGGTGCATGAATGAAACCATCTGTAGCATGTTTTCTTCCTTTTTAAGAAAATGGACCTCAGCTTCTAAAATCTGGCTCCTCAGGTGTGCCTGCCATTCCAGGAACCACCAGTAGGTGGCACCTTCCTTTCCCCAGTGTGGCATCTTCTGTTAAACCGAGGCAGGGAGAATGCCCCTCACAGGCGCACAAGGTTGGCTTGTTGAGTTCCGGATGTCTGGGTTTCTGTGGTGCGGAGAAGTGCTTTTGCCTTCCCTGTGTCGGTCAGACTCAGGATTATGGTCAGTGATGTGTAAAGATTAAGTTGGAGAAATGAATCCCCCAAGGTACTTTACACATTTGCTACAAATTGAAGTCTTCCCCTTTAGTGCTCCCCGGTGGTGTTCTCTGATCACTCACAGATGTTAGCAGTTGGACAGTGAACTGTGTCGTTGCCTAAATTTGTGCTGCTGCCCTCAGTCTTGAGATGGAAACCCTGGGCAGCGTATGAATAGGTCCTCTTTGGGTATCTGTAAGAGATCAGAGGAGCTGTGGCTTGTTTCTGCTTTAGGCTCCAGAAGGACCTGATTTCAGACACTTTAGTGCAGTGGAGGGTCAGTGTATGAACCAGGTTCATGGTGGATCCAGTCCCAGGGTGTCTGTTTTAGAAGATCGGTCCCATTGAAAGCCCCCCTGAGGCTACCTCTCCTCCATTGTCTTCCTCAGTGGGCGACTTTGGGTGTGGGTGTGCCATTCCTGCTGTCACTAGCTGTTGAGATTCCGCACTTGATATGAGCGCCCTGGGATGATGCACAGCCACCCTGCGCTCTGACCCATTCTCAAGTCTAGTACCACTCACAGCTTGGGAAAACAGTGGAGTTGGATGATTGGTTTAATTAACATTATTAAAAACCAAACTGAAAGCCTGTCTTTTAGTATGATATAGGTAGCTGTAGTTTTTAGTTCTTCCAAATACAGTTTGCTGACCCTGCTCTAGACCTTAATGAATATTAAGTCACTATGTTGTCAATTTTTGGCCATCCTCCCCCAAAATAATACCCCAACAGCAGTTTTTCTTGGCTGTGCCTTGTTCATTGACACCTGGTAAGAACTGGGAAGAAGACAGCAGCCACTTCTACCCAGGCAGAGGGGATATTCTCTGATCTCTAGAAAATTTGGTCTTGCTTTTCATGTCTCATTCCATTTATTACAGTGAGAAACAGTCCTGAACACTTCAGAGAATTCAGACAGCTCAAAGAAAGTTTCTTTTTGGGGTGGGGTTGGTGGTGCTGGAGATTGAATCCAGTGCCCTGTGCCTGCCAGACATGTGCTGTGCCACTGAGCAACACCCCAGCCCCACAGACTTTCGATTAAGTATAAACTCCTCCTACGTCAGCCTCCCAGAGTGCTGGGATTACAGTCCTGTACCACCATGCTTGGCTTATTTTAAAAATCAGTATTTCATGAAGAACTTTCCATCTTGATGCTTTCTGCCCATTGTCTTTAAATCATAGCCCAGTAGTCCTGTATATTTAACCACTTAAGTTGTCTTCAGCTTTTCTCCTATTACACATAATGCCAAGAAAGTGTTTCTTTCAGAGGCATATCAAGGTAGCTAAGTGCTGAAACCACAGGCTCAAACATGCAGAAAGGTCTACTTTTGGTTTTTTTCTAGTACTGGGGATCAAGCCCAGGGTGCTGCACATGCTAGGCTGACGCCTTACCACTGAGCTGTGTCCCCAGCCCAGAGTGGCTGCTTTTTACAGAAGCATTCAAGGCTGAAATGCTGTTTGCCCTGCCACCCTCACTATGTAGCTTCAGAGGTGGCCCAGCTCCATTGTCAGCACTGTGGATACCTGCAGGAAGGTGGAGGCCTGTGGGCTCTGTGGGCCGGGTCTGCCCCCAGGGAGCTCCCCGTGCCGGTGGCATGGCCGAGGCGGAAATGGTGTTCTAACACAGTTCCCCAGCTGTTCCCTTCATTGGCTCTCATTCCTGCATCCAACTCTTAACATACTAGGGGCTGCCCCTGAGCCACGGAGGTACATGGATATCCTGTGAAGGCCGTACCTGAATCTCATTTCCACATACTGCTGGCTCCCTCTGGGGCTTAGCGAGAAGCCGTTGTGATATAAGGCAAGAGTCTGCAAACCCACCACTTGTTTCTGTAAGCCCACAAGCTAAGAATGGCTTTTACATCCTTAAATCACTAGGGAAAAGAAAGTGTTTGTGATACATAAAATAAGTCGGTTGAGACTGCACTGTGCATGAATAAAGTTTCGTGAGGATGCAGCCACAGGTACATCTTGTGCATGGTCACAGTACCATTGGAGAGCCAAGCGGTACAGTAGACACTGGTTGGTTCACAAAACCCAAAACGTCTGACTTGTTACAGAAAAGCTTCGTTGGATCCCTGGTTTAAAGTCTTGCGTGGACCTACCTCTCACCATGTGGACATAGAAGCCTTGGCTTTTTCAGTCTTATCAGGCCCTTATCCCTGAACTTGGACTTACCACCTTTCCTAACCACCTGTGAACCAGCTAATTCTTTCCTGAGGGCATGCCTTGTGACAACAGCAATGCTACTGCATGGCTTTTCCCAGCTGCCTCATGCAGTTTCCAGTTCTGGTGGACACCTGTTCTACCTCCTCATTTCACTCCACCCTTTGCCACACCAGGACAAGGACTTGAGCTTTCCAGCCTGCAGCCTGGGTTCTCTCCATGTGACTGTAGAGTGTCACACCCTTCCTCCAGATGATACTGACAGTGTTACTGAACATAGTCTGTGCTGCTAGCGTAGGTTGCAGGCATAATGTTCCCTAGGGCTCCCTGTCGCTCTAAAGTAACAATTCAGCCCAGCTACTGTTGACAGTGGCTGGTGTCCTGGGGTTGGGGTGCATTCTGCCCCTTGGGTCATTCAGGAAGCAGGCTGGCAGAGTTCTGCCATCTTCAGTCTGTGACCATAGTGTTACTCTGGATGTGGTTGCTGCTGTTCTATTTTACGGATGTAGAAAAGGCCTGGAGAAGGCACACAGTAAGGTGCATGGCCCAAGCCCTGAAGCAGCCCTAGTTTCCTTGTTCTGTTCTGTTGGAAAGAACTTGCCTACCCTTTCCTGCAGGGAAACTGGAGAGATGTGTGCTGGGTGTTTGCTCTGGAGGGAAGGGGACAGCAGCAGCAGATTATGATGGATAGCAAGCATTCTGCCACAAAGAGGCTTCTAGGTGCATTCCCTAAATAAAGCAGGCCAAGCTGTGAAAGGTTTACTGCTGAAACAGGTAGATTTATAGGAAAATAACTGTGCAACGTAGTTTTTTAAATGCCGCTCTTCACATTAATTGAGAATAAAACTTTTGTGTTTTCAGGCTATTGCACATTATGAACAGTCTGCTGATTATTACAAAGGAGAAGAATCTAACAGGCAAGTATTATTTCCTTAATATTAGACAGTGGGTTTTGTATGTGTGATAAAAGACAGGTCATTTTTATACTCCAAGGGTCTTTTGCACCAAATGAAAGTGTGCTGGGCCCTTGTGCACACATACCTCTGTGTTTCCTGTGGATGCTTATTTGTCTGCTCTGCTTGATTCCAGCTCCGCTAACAAATGTCTGCTGAAGGTAGCCGCCTATGCTGCGCAGCTGGAACAGTACCAGAAAGCCATCGAGATCTACGAGCAGGTGGGTGGCATCCAGTCTGGGTCACTCTTCTGATTAGACTTGCTCCTTAATTCTTCTTTTTGGGAAGAATGGGACATAGGGCCGGGGATTTAGCTCAGTGGTTCTGCCTCTTGCCTCACAAGCAGAAGGACCCGAGTTCAATCCCTGGTCCAAAAAAAAAAAAAAAAAAAGAATGGGACATAATTCACACATCACACAATTCATCCTTTTAGTGAGTATAGTTCAATGGTTTTGGGCACATTCACAAGTTGTGTGACCACTGGCACTACCTAATTCTAGCACATTTCCATCACCCTAGTCTCCTGGATTTCCATGTGAGTCTGTTTTATGGAATTCAGTTCTATTCTGTGTTGAGCATTCATGGTTTCCATGTCTTTCCTAAGCTCCTCTATTTTTTTTAATCTGTATCTACTTTAGATTAACTAATCATGTCTTTCATTATAGTTGTCATCTCTTTAATTATCTGTTTTGTTTTTGTCAAGGGACTTACTGATCTCTGTTGTACTTCTACTGCTACCATTTCATAAAATTCAGCTGGGTGGCTTTTGATTTCTTCCACTTTAGTGCCCCCTTGATTTGCCTTCAGTGAATTGGGGGTTATGTTGTGTGTTTTCTATTTTATTGTTGTTTATTTATTTTCTGCATTGAGGCTTGTAAATTGTTTATGGTAGGTAGCTTTATTACTAGTATCAAGACCTCTAGGAAATGACTACTTTTCAGAGATGTCTTCTAGGCGTAGATGGCTTTTGGTTTTTGAATCTGTTCCAGCATTCTGCCTCTTCGATGGGTATGATGGTGCACACCTGAAATCTCAGTACTTAGGAGGCTGAGGCAGGAGGACCGAGGCCAGCCTGAGACCCTGTCTCCAAAAAAAAAAAAAGTGTTATGATTTATGTCTAGATGTCCCCACCAAGCCGAAGTCTTGGATGGGTCTTTGCAGAGAAAGCTGAATCTAGAGTGTGTGATTACTAAACTAGTGCACTGTATGGTTTGGCACTGCCCTAATCCTGGTAGTCTGGATAAGATAAAAGGGGCAGCAAGATACTAAGTCCCTTGTTGCTTTTGCTGTCTTTTTCTGCTGTAAACTGTTGCCCCTCTGCCCTGGAGCCAGCCGATTAAGGACTGAAGCCGCTAACTCTGAGCTAAATTAACCTTTCCCCCTTTAATTTTGGGTGTCAGGTATTTTGTCTCAACAACGAGAAAAGTAACTAAGACAATGTGTATACTTTTGTGAAAAATTAAAAACCAAAAACAAACAAAAAGAGAAGTTTTATTTTTAAGAAAGAAAAAAGAATAAAAACCAAAACCAAACAAATAATAGGATTTCTGCTTTTTCATTTTCTTAGTGATGAAAATTTGCTACCTGTTTGGCCCAGCACCCAGTTCTTTGCTACTGGACTATATATAGTAATGTTTATGACACCCAGACAATCTAGGTATTGGCATACAAGGAGATCAGTTTATCACAACTTTGTCAACTTGGCTAAAGTAGTACAATCAGTAATAACAATAGCATCAAGCTCAAACTGGAAAATGACAAACTGTGATAACTATTAATTTGTCACCTTTAACTGTAGGTAAAAGATTTATAGTTATATAACAAAATCTAAGACAAATCAGAAAACTATATACAGTAAATATATACTCAGTAAAGCGATTTTACCCTAAGGTGAGAAAATTTTAAAAAGAGGAAAAAAATAGAGAAATAAGAGAAAGAGATTAGAAGCAAGGCTGAAGGACAAAGGTAGATTACCCATCTCAGGAAACTGGTAAGGAACAAACAAAAATAAGAACAAAACAAAACAAAAAAACCTGAAAACAGTGTTCACAGTCACAACAAAAACAAACAATAGAAATGAACCACAACACCCCCCAAAAAGCCCAAAGTGATGAGAAAAGAAGGAATTTCTCTGTGATTTCAAATCTGTGGTTGTCTTCTGGGGTCTACAGTTTTGTGATAGTGACCAATTCAGGGCATGACTCTGCTGTCACTGGTAGACAGATCCATGCTGTATACTCCCAGCAAGCCTGCAGTAGGAATAGGGCTGGGTGCCAGTTCTGGGACTTTCAAATCTACAGAAGTTCAGGCTGATCCTGGCCTCTGGTTGTGGGGTTGGGGCCTAAGTTGTTTAGCTTATAACCTTCTGGGTGTCTCGCTGGCCTGACCACAGTTCCCTGACCCTGCACGTCTCCTGTGGTTGTCTCTCACTCAGTCACTATGGGGTTTTAATACTGGGAGCCCCAGGATGAAGCCAACCCACAGCTGCTCTGAATCCTGGGTTAACTTGGCCCCTCTCTAAAATGGCATCTGGCCAAGCCAGGGGACCTGGCAGTTGCTTGGACTGGAATCATTTACCAGCTGTTGTAGCGCACAGCATCCACTGCTCTGTTCCATTGGCACATTTCTCCCTGGAGGCCTCTGGAGTCACCTGCTTTCACTGTGTCTCTGTAGATTCCATCTGCCTCTCACACCATGTGCCAGGAGCTCTCCACCATTTTCCCGGAAGTCCTTTAGGTGTAACTTAATTCTTGCACATGAGGAAATCAGGTGGAGACAGCTCCGCTTGTTGATCAGACTCTTTTTGTTATCGTGTGGTTCTGGGACTCTCATTGAAAACTTTCACTACCACCCAAGGCTTTATTTCTGGGCTCTGAATCTAATTGGTCAGTTTGTCCATATTTTGACCATATTACTTTATTTTGATTACTGTACCTTTCCAGGAAGTTTTGAAACCAGAAACTGTCCTACAATTTTTTCTTTCTTTCTCAAGATTGTTTTGACTATTCTGGATCCCTTGCATTTTCATATAAATTTTAGGATAAGCTTTTTAACCTCTGTATTTTCATAGGGATTGTGTCACACGTGAAGATCAATTTAAAGAATGCATTAGTCAGTGTTTTCCAGACTTACTACCAGTAGGAGATGTGCAAGTACCTGCATGTGTGTTGTGTATGCGTATGCGTGTGTGTATATATGTCTGTGTCCGTGCACGTGTGTCTGTATAGAGGGAAAAGGAGAGAAGAGAAATGATGTTAAGGAACAGGCTCACTAGATGGAAGACTCAGAAGTCCTAGGGTCAGCAGGTGACAAGCTGAAGACCCGGGTGAGCAGAGGGGTAGCTCTGGTCTAGGTCTGAGCCCTAGGCAGACAGTGTAGCAGCTCTGAGAGTGAGTCCTCCTCCACGCATTAGCGCTTGGTTCTGTCAGGGCTTCGGTAGGTGGGACAGCCCCACTCACAGTGAGGCCCATCTGCTGTACTCATCCTGCTGCTCCAGATCTTCACGTGACACAGATACATCCAGGTTGGGTTTAGCCAGCATCTAGGCAGAGAGGATTGCCATTTTAACAATATTAGGTCTGTCTGCCCATATAGGATGCCTTGCCATTTATTTAGATCTTTAATTTTGCTCAACAATGTTTTGTATTTATCAGTGTGTAAGCTTTGTAATTCTTTGGTTAAATATATTTCTGAGTATTTTACTCTTGATCCTCTTGGAGATGGAATAGTTTTCTTATTTTCCTTTTCAGATTGTATAGAAATACAGTTGGTTTTTGCAAATCAATTTCATATCCTGCAATCTTCCTGAATTTGTGTATTAGCTCTAACCGATTTTTTTGTGTGTGAATTTTTCAGGATTTTTTTTGTATGTAGGATCATATCATCTGCAAATAGCTATGTTTTACCTTTTCCTCTCCAGTCTGAATCCCTTTTGTTTCATTTTCTTGTCCAATGTCCTCACTGGAACTTCTGGCACAATACTTAACAGAAATGCAGGAGCAGATACTCTTCTCTTGTTACTGATCCTAGAGTTTTCAGTTCTTCACCATTACATATGATGTTAGTGGTGCCTCTCCACCTCAGTGCTTGTGATTGCTCCCAGAGCCTTTGCATTGAGCTGTGCCCTCAGCCTTTTATTTTTTACTTTGAGACAGAGTCTCAATAAATTATTAAGTTGCCCAAGCTGGGGTTGAACTTGTGATCCTCCTGCCTTAGCTTCCCATACAGTGCTGGGATTACAGGGATGCACTACCATGCTTGGCTTAGCTGTGGATTTTTTGTAAATGGTTTTCATCAATTTGAGGAAGCTCCTTTCTTTTCCTAGTCAATGTTTTATTACTAAAGGATTTGGATTTTGTTAAAAGCATTTATACATCCACTGAGGTGAGCATCCATCCTTTGTTCTTTATTCTATTAATATGGGGTATTACATTAATTTTCATGTGTTGAACCAAACTTAGGCTCCTGGAATAATTCCTGTGGTCACTGCAAAATTTCAGTGTCCCCTAGAATACCCTTGAGGCCACTGCACAGTTCCAGTGTCCTGTCCCCCAAAATACCCTCAAGTATAGTTATTTATTGGAGGGACTCAGCTCACTGAAAGCTCTTCTGGTCACAGGGAAGGTTCATCCTACCAGAGAGCTGGGGGTTGGGTCAATGGAAGAAAGCCTGGAGGTGCACTCTGGGTAGGCTCTGGGTATGCACCATTATCCACTCCCGGGGGTTGGGCACACAGTGTGATATGTGAGAGCACATGGAGGGGACACCCCTCACCCTGCTGCCCTGAGTTTTTACTGGGGCTCAGCCACATGAGCCTAGTTGGCCACCTTGTGGCTGGCCTGATTCTCTGCCCTGACCTAGGCTGAGCTGCACCACATTCCCCAGGGCCCAGGTACACAGTGCATTCTGTGAGGCCAGGCAGCTCAAGGACTTGGAGATGACTTCCAGCAACCATGGGCAAGGCCATTCCTTTGCTGGGCAGGACGATGCTTCACTGTGTGTACTTCATGATGCACAACCTTTCACAAGTTGCCAGAACAGGTTTGCTGATGTTTATTGAGGATTTTATGAGGATATTCACAAGGAATGTTGATCTTTAGTTCTCTCTCTCTCTCTGTATGTGTGTGTGTGTGTGTGTGTGTGTGTGTGTGTGTGTGTGTGTGTGTGTGTGTGATGTTTTGACTGGTTTTGGAATCTAGGTAATTCTGGCCTCAGAATGAAAAGAGTTTGTAAAGGATTGATGTTAATTCTTTAATAGTTCGGTAGAAGTCAGTGATTTTCTCTGTTTTTTTTTTTTTCATTTTTATTGATTTCTGTCTTCATTTTCCTGTCTGGTTTCTTTGGCTTTATTTTGCTCTTTTTGTTCTGGGCATTTGAGATGGAAGCTTGTTTAGCTTTCTGAGTTTCCTCATTATTGTATATGCATCTTTAGTGATTTCAGTTACCTTTTCATGTTCATTCTGGGTCGATCTTCTTTTCCTTCTGTATGAAGGATATTTAGTGTCGCTCTTTCCATGCTAGGTGGGTGTTGTTTTTCTCAGGCCATGGTCAGATTCTTTTGCTTGTCTTCAAGTTTTAGGAGTTTAATTATAATGTGGCTTGCAGTAGATATCTTTGGTTTTGTCCTACTTGAGTTTTGCTAAACTTGAATCTATAAGTCATCATCATCATTACTTGTTTGTGTACATTTGAACACTTTTCTCTCTGTTTGCCCTCCAGGACTCAGACAGGTTGTTAGGCTGGGTGTATCCTGTGTGTTCATTCTCTGTGAAGTCTGCCTTGAGTTCCACATTTGCATAACTTCTGCTGTGTCACCTGTTCACTGATCTCTGTGCTTTTATGCTCATATTGAGCTGACTGTTCTGAAGTTTCCATTTGTTTTTTTCTCCTTTTTTCCTATGATTAATTTTTGTTGATTCCTTTTCCCCATTCGCTCCCAGCATTTTGTAACTGCTTGTTGCACTTTTGTGAAGGCTTCTCTGAAGTCCTTCTGACTGATTTCCAGCGATTCTGTTGTGTGGCAGCTGTTGTGCATTCAGCTTCGGCTCTGCCTGCGCGTGGCACAGTGAGTGACTTTCAGTCAGGAGCACAGCATCTATGTGTTGTGAGGAACCGAGCCTTTCTTCAGCCTCCCCTTTTCCTATGCCCATGGTGGCAGGTTCCCCAGAGGCCTCTGAATACCTGGGCAGAGGGTACCTCCCCTCCCAGCCATCTCCACTGCTGACCCTGTGCATGGTAATGGGGAAGGCTTTGCCCTCCTCGAGCCCCCCTTAGCCCACCTCCAGCTGGTGGTGGAGGTGTTTTGGCCCTGCAGGGGAGGTGGCCCCCAGGTTCCCCAAGAAGCCCCCACAGCCTCTGTGACTATGTCCTCTGCCCTCTCAAACACTGTATGTACTTTCTTGTTCTAATAAAATCCTCTACTTCATGCTTTTGCATTGGAAGAATGGGTTCTGTAGCTAAACTTCATGAAGTTCATAAGTATTTTCTGAAGGGCAGCAGGTGAATATACAGAGTAGCTTTGTTGCTGTCAGATGGCAGGGCTTTGCTTTAACTCCACCTTCTGTTCCAGGTTGGGGCGAATACCATGGACAACCCCCTGCTGAAGTACAGCGCCAAGGACTACTTCTTCAAGGCAGCGCTCTGCCACTTCATCGTGGATGAGCTGAACGCCAAGGTAAGATCGCCCAAAGCTCATCCCAGCATCTTTTGGGGGGTGTTTAGCCAGACTGAACTGGGGAAGTTCGAAAGAGGAATTCATTGATGTTGATCCACGGCCAGACTAGGAAGGTTGTTCTCTTCAAGTTCTCCTTCAGCCCTTTTGCTCAATAGAAATTAAGAAGGAAACAATAAAGTGGAATAATTTAGGAGTGGAGTTGGCTGAGGATGGGGAGAAGCTGGAAAGCAAGATGGAAGCTGAGGGTGAAGGCAAGGACTTGGCACCAAGTGGCTATAGGGATTGCGAAAGGAAGAGCTCCCGGGTGTCTGGCCTGTGGCTTGCTTGGTGTTGGGATGGAGTTAAGGAAGAGCCTCTCCACCTAGCGGATGTGGCTCTGAAATGAGGAAGTGACACATTAGTTAGTAGGGAATCTGAAGCTTCCTTCCTAGTCCAGTAAGTCTAAAGTTGACGAGTGCTTTCTTTCCCTCAGCTTGCTCTCGAGAAATACGAGGAGATGTTTCCAGCATTTACTGATTCAAGAGAATGTAAATTATTGAAAGTGAGTAATTTCTAACTTTAAAGAAAAAGCCCTTGTTCTCAGATGATGACACCTCAGTGGGTCCCCATATGAGGTGACATTTTCATCTATCAGACATTCTCCTGCTATTCCCCAAGGTGTGCCGCTGTTGGGGTGAGGATGAGAGCCTCGTGGGTCTCACCAAAGCCAGGTCCTGGGCGGGGCGAATATTGCCCCAGTGCCCTGAGATTCTGGCAGCCTCCGTTATTGCAGTACCAAGGCTGGGTCTGTTTAAAGCATCCATTTAGAAATGGAACTTTCAGGGCTCAACCAATTAATTGTTTTTTATTTTTTTTCAATGCTACCAGAAACTTCTAGAAGCTCATGAAGAACAGAACAGTGAAGCTTACACTGAAGCAGTAAGTTAGACCCCTTAGGATACAGTGCGTTTTTGAAGGTTTATGTTATAGAAACTTCTTCTCCTTGCTGTTGTGTAAATTCTGAATGTTTATTTGAAATAATTTCAGAAGTATTTTCCAAAGGTCATGTTTCATTTTCCCCAGAAATTAGGCCAGTGATAGTGAACCTTTTAGAGCTTTCAGTGATAACAAACAGCCCACTGCAGCACACGTGCTGTAGGTTCACCACCACTGGATTAGGCTGTTCCATTCACCAGTAACTATGATGAAATTCCAGTTGTATTCAGCTCTGTTTCTTGACTTATGCTCAAAACTAATTTAGCTGTGAGGCTCTGTGGAGGGAAGACAACATTTGCGGCTGTGATTTGCTATTTCAGTCCTTTCTTTTGAAAATGATCTGATTCATAAATAAGTGTATGGTAAACTTAGTTTAAATATAAAGTATAAAAACTAAGCTCACTATATTTGTTGCATAAAATCGGTTTATTTTTTCTTGTCTTTTTTGGTATTTTCCCATCTTATGCTTAGAATCAAGTAGATTTCTCAGTCTCCTCTTTTATGCTCGTTGTAAGCTAGGCTTGATGGTGCATGCCTGTAATCCCAGCACTGTTGAGGTTGAGGCAAGCAGATTGCTAGAAGTTTGAGGCCAGCTTGGGGTTTATAGTGAGTTCGAGGCCAGCCTAAACCACATAGTGAGACCCTGTCTCAAAAAACAAACAAAAATATGTTCATCAGGACCCTTAAGGAGGGTTGGAAAGGAATATTTTCCTATTTAGCTTTTTCCCCAAACCACTTTCAGCCTGTTGTAACAGTGTTCTTTGGCAGCACAGTGAGATGTATTGAAGGGATTCTGCTTTGGCTCCTCCCAGCTCTGCCCCATGCTGCCAGGTAAATTGATTCTCCACATCCTCCCTACTCAAGTTTCCTGTCACTTTTCCATTTCCAATTTTTGCCACATACATGTTCACATACAAAGTAGTATAAAAAATAAAAAGCACAGGGGCTGGGGATTTAGCTCAATGGTGCTGCTGCCTGCCTCCCAAGCGGAAGGTCCCGAGTTTGATTCCTGGTACCAAATAAATAAATAAATAAATAAAATAAAATAAAAAGCACAGGAGCCGGGCGTGGTGCTGCACTCCTGTAATCCCAGCACTTGGGAGGCTAAAGAAGGAGGATCACAATTCTGAGGCCAGCCTGGGCTATATAGTGAGTTCAGGGTCAGCCTGAACTACAGAGGGAAACCCTGCCTCAAAAAAACAAAAATAAATGAATAAGTAATTTTAAAATAAAATAAATAAAAGGCACAGGTACTTGTCACCAGTGCCATCAAAATAGTCATAAAATAATGAAAAGTAAACTTTTAAAAACTTTTTTGTGGTGCTGGGGGATTAACGCAGGCCTCCCCAATGAAGGAAGCTGGTAGGTTATTGCTGTAAAGTGTTTATAAACAGCATGGGTCACCGCTGTCACGTTTGAATGTGTTTCCACTGAGTAATTCCTGTTCCTCATTCCTTAAACCAGGTAAAGGAGTTTGACTCGATATCGCGCTTGGACCAGTGGCTGACCACCATGTTACTGCGTATCAAGAAATCCATCCAAGGCGATGGCGAAGGGGACGGAGACCTAAAGTGAAGCATCTCTGTCTTCATGGCATGTAGCTCACTCCTCTTTAGTTTGTGTTAGGGCCAAGTGATCTCATGGGATGCCCATTTAATGGCTTCATTCTGTTACCTGTGAGCCCAGTGACCTATGTTGTTCAGCGTGCCATGTCTGCGTCACTGTGAAGCAGCTGAATGGGAGTCTCCTGTTGCTGTTCTGTTTGTGATGACCAGAGTACATTTCATGCTAAGTCCCCAGAGCTTCCCAAGAAGTGCTTCCAATCTTACTCCTGTCCCTTGACATCCACAGGCCCCTCTTTCATGTTGTGTTTATGTTCTGTTCCTTGGACTCCAGGACTCAGTTCTGTTGCTCTAATGGATGCTTTGCAAGCTCCCGTGTGTTGGCATCTGGATGTATTCTTTCTGTGCATTCAGTTTAGGGTGGTTATTAGGATGAGTTTACGACATCATTAGAAATGGTTTCTTTTTCTCTGTGATGGTGCTAGTGACAGCTTTCTTGGCTTTTATGTTCTGTTTGCTCACATGCCCATGGCAGAAACTCAGAGCAGTGGGGTCTATTGGCATCACTTGTGTTGGGAGAAGGAGCTCTCTGGCAGGACTTGCTTCTTGTTTGGATGAAAGTCAAAATGGATTTGATGGGTTTGTACTTAAGCACACACCTCCAAGTTTCTAAAATGTGTGAAAAGCAGAACAGTTCCTTTCCCAGGAGAAAGTCTGTGCTTTATTTGGGGTGAAAGTACATTCATTGGTGTGTCTTGTTCTTCATTTCATGTTTGTACACTTAGAGACATTGAGCTGTCTTCTGTGCCATGCTCGTGCCAGTCTTGTCAGGGTTGGGTGGACTGTCCAGTCAGAGTGTGAGAATGTGTGTGATTGACTTCATCCATCTGTTGAGCCTGATGGGTTAAGGGCAGGCAGGATGGTACAGGAGGTTACAGTGTGCCTGGCCGGGCGAGACCCCACCTCCCATCTGGGCATTAGATTGTCCCCTGGCCGGTGGGCTTATTGTAAGGTCTAAGACCTATGTATCCTCTTGAGCTGAGAACATGGTTCTCGCTGGTACCATACTCAGACGTGGGCTTATTCCCTGAGTCTCCTGTGCATATTTGTGTGCTGAAATGGTTTGAGAGGCATATGTTGCCTGACAGATATTGCACCCCTTTCTGAATTGTGTTTGCTGCCCTTAGTTGCCAGATAGCAAAACCTTCTGTGTTTTGTTAGGTGGTGAGGAGTGTCTGATAAGGTTACCATTTTTAGGTGACCCTTGGCTGGGAGTGTTAGGCTTTTGCTGTGCAGAAGCAGAGCAGACCAGCAGTGAGCCAGGAGGTGGAGGACTGGAGAGCAGGTCATCAGTCTGGGGTGAGAGGGAATGCAGGGAATAAAGTGGAAAAGTACCTGCTGAGGCTGACATGGAGGTTTGCATCTGGTGGCCCAACAATGGTGGTGACGGGCAGCGTCCTGGGGTGCAAGAATCTCAGTGATGTCCATATGTCTAGTAGGGGTAAAGGAATGGTCCCTGGAGTCTCACCTGTGGGGTCCCAGGTTCTTGAATGAAAGCTGCCTGTCTATGAAGGTAGGTTTGGACTGAAGCTGAGGTGGTGCTCTTTGATGCCCAGGTAGAATCTCCTCTGAAAGGAACGGTCAGAGGAAAGCAGATTTTGCTGCCGTACCTGGTGTGTTCCATGGACAGCCATGTGCACATCTAGGAATGCCGAGGGTGGTGGCTTGAGTCCTCTGGCTCCAAGTCAGTTTCAGGATCAGCTAGCCAGAGAGCTGTGTCAGCAGCACTAGTTCAGACTTTTCTGGTGGCCTTGTAAAGTAGAACTGCATGCTGTCCTCTGGGGCACTGTGTTTAGGTTTCAGCATGATCTCACAGGCCCATCCAAAGAAGGTGTGGTTTTTAAAACTGTAGCATTTGTACTATTTTGGCATGTCAGTCAGAGTGGCTTGTTTCTATTAAAATAAATGCTAGGACCAGTGCCTGGGGTAAGAAATAAGTTTTGTTTCTGATACTTCACATGAAAAGAATAAACATAATTACAGGGGCAAGAACAGACCTGCCAGAATCAGTAAAACGAGAATGAGAAAGGAGCCCAGACAATCATGTGTAAACTTGCCTCTCCAAATGTCCCATGGATACAGGACAATGCCATGTCTCAGGATGCCCAGGAGTTAGCTTTAGGAGTTTCAGAATGCTGCCTATAAACAGAATATAATGATCATTTATGTTACAGTTCCTACCCTTTTCCAGATCTGGGGTCAGTTCATAGTTGAAGTCAGTTCATATTTCATACAGGAAAGTTTTGCTTTTTGTGGCAACAATTTTATAGCTTGTGTGAATTCCTTTTTTATTTAATGATCTGAAAACAGTATTTTTGCACACTTGTGACCCTGTGTGGTGGCATCACTGTAACTGTAGTACATGCACCAGCCCTCATGCAGTCATTGTTCCTCTGATGTTGTGCATTCCCAACATTTAAATGCAGACCTTAAAGACTTCCATTGGAGGTTCTGCAGCACCGCATGACCATGCCCTGCCCGCTGCAGTGTGAGCTATGACCGTAGCAGGCTCCTGCTTGTGAGGTCCTGAGTTGCCTTCTGCAGGGAGCTACAGTATTGAAAAACAACCATGTAACGATAAACCTACCTTAGCAAAAAGAATGCATTTGTTTTATGTGAACCTGTACAGTAAATAAAATGTAAATTATGAATATCATCTTGACGAGTCTTTCCTAGCTACATTGACGTGGTTCAGAAGTAGCTTCCTTTCCTGAAAACTGCCTCTCATTCATATTTTGTAGGCCCTTTGAGCCTCAGGCAGCCAGGCCAAGGGTGTACAAGGAAACCTCGGAGCTCAGCTGCTACAGGCCACTAAGTGTGCATGGCAGCTGCTGACCTCACGCTCTCGCTCCTTCCCCAAGTTCTGTGGGCTCCACAGTCACTTGCAAGGGAAGCGAAGAGTGGTGCTGGAAGACCTTTGAGCTGTGTGGAGGCAAGGACCCTGGAAGCCTGGCGCTGTCCCCAGGCATAGGAGATGGCTGTGTGGGGCAGTGGCAGCAGCTTGTCCTATCATGCTGTCACAGAGCCTTGACTGCTTACAGCAACTTTAAGTAAATCAAAGCAGGTTTACGGAATGCATGGTAGAATAGGCCATCCAAGACCAGGAGATCTGAGAAATTGTTGGGCACAGAAAGCCCAGTGTTTCTTCTCAGAGTCAGTTTCCTAACAGGAAGAAACCAAGGCCTGGCTGTGCTGCCTTGGGAAGAGGCTGTAGACTGCCAGAGGACAGCTGGGGCCAGCCGGGGACTTGCTGTGTGACCTGCTGGCCTGGTTGTGGCCCGTCAGCTCTGTCTGTGCTGTCCAGTTGCCTGTACACAAGGCCTTGGCATGAGCACCCTCCCCAAGCTGATATGTTGCTACTTCTGGTACAAGCAGGTTGAGTTGGCTTAGTGCACAAGCACCCATTTTGTTTCCAGAAATTCCAAAGTCCTTAATGTGCAAAGGTGTAACTGTGCAGATTAAAGCCAACTCACACCATACAGGCAAATTTGCCCAGATAATTACCACCGACAGCAGTCTCATGAGGTCTTCTCTACTTCCTGACCCATTCTTTCCAGCTGTACACAAACTTGGTAAAACGAAGGGCTGCAGAGCCCTTTGAAGTTGGGGCTGAGTGTTTCACACAAAATGTTTGCAGTGGCACCAGGTCACCTCCTCAGTGACCTTTGACACCTTGGGAGCCATGTACTACTATTCAAGTATTGTTCCTCATCACCTGCTTGGCATGGACATAACAGGGTGGTGTTGCTTTCACCAGTGGGGCTGTACTTGTATTAGGAGAATCAGGGTAGCCACCCCTAGTCCCCTGCAGTGAGGCTTCAGTAGGTGTGGGAGTCTTGCTTTCAGGGACAGCTGTACCCTGCTGAGAAGGGGACAAAAGCGAATAAAGTAGAAGTTGTCTCCTGGGTCACACTGGGTCACACTGAGGACATGCAGGAAGCCCCCCCCCATTGCTTCCTGAGACACCAGTTATGTGGCTTTGAAGACCCTGATTTAAGTTTCATTACGTATATGATTAAGGAATTACACCTATTTCATTAAGAATCTTATTATTTCTCTAGACCCTAAATTATAATCCTGTAAATAATTTAAACTAAAAACTACTTCAAAAAGCATTTATTAACACATTAAACAGTTTTGTGCAGAACTTCTAAAGAAACAAATTCAAGACAAAAATTCTTCCAGCAGGTAACAAAATAATCTATTTAAATTCCTTTCCATCAAGATGACTTTATCCCTTAACAGTCCGTGAGCTGGACAGTCTCCTCTTCAAACAGCTATGTGGCAGTCACAAGGTTTTGTTCTGTAAACACAACTGGGATACTATGACGTGGATAACGGAGTTTGAAGTAATTCAGTCCGACCTTCAAGAGCAGTGTGAGATGTCAGTGCTGAGCAGCACTCACAGGCTCCCCTAGTTCCTCAGACACAGTAGCCCGGAATCACAGTGAGAGCTGTGGAAGAAACTTCCCCATTTCTGTCATCCGCAGCCTGGCATCATCCCCCAGCAGAAGGGTGAGGCACCTTCCTCTAGGAGGATCAGTGTGTACACAGCAAATTTAATAAATTAAGAACATGGGGAAAAGCAACTGGGGTACAGAACTCTCCCTTGAAAGGGCTCCTTTGAAATTAATACACTTAGGGTTATGTGTGGATCAAAGCATTTCACAAACATGGCCATGCAGCCAGGGCCCCAGAGGGGAGCAGCAGTGACAGCATAATCCTCTTCCCATTGTGTTTCTGATCTGTGATTTAGTTCAGCAGACAGCCAGAGGAGCGCTGAAGCCAGTTACTGGCTCTGTCCCAGCTGCTCGATAAGGCACAGTCTGAGATGTGCACACCCAGGTTTTGGTCCCTTCTAAGCTCTTGGCTCCCTACTACAGCCAGCCGCAACCTCTCAGTTTGCAGGATGTAGGGGGTTTTAGAAATGACAAATCAAGTGAGAAAAACCTAGCAAAAACACTCATTCTCCATGTTGTCTGACTTGCCCTTGCCACCCCTCATTTTGCTGTATGTCAATAAAATGACATTCAAGTGCTCTAAAGCCCCTTGCTGCATTTTTCATTCCTCTGTACAGTGCTACTGTCTTGCTAAACTCTTTGGTAGGACAGCTTTCACCCAAGCTTGTTTTTAGGAATGAAACTAAACAGCCACATGTCATTTCTCAAGTAGATTTCTTGACAAACTCCTCAGCTGTGTATGCACGAACATAACAACTTTTGACAGCATTCAATTTGTCATTCCTGTTTTAGTGCCTGCAAGTAGGAGGTGGGGGAGGAATGAATGTAGCAATCCATTGCGTCAGTCCCAGAGCAGATCTGATTTGCTTCAGCTCAACAAGGAAGCAGCGGATGAAATTACATGGTCCCAGCTTTATTTTGGCTTGGCAGAAAACACTTTAAAGCACATGGAGTTTAAGGCAGGGCGGGACCAGGAAGACTACGAAGAGCACTCAGGAGCTGGGCAGTGCCATGTTCTGTGCATTAGGACAAAAGCGGGCCAAGCATCAACAGTGCACACTGCCTACACCGGGATTCAGGGAGTAAAGGTCATGCAAGTCAGGACGCCGAAGGGAAATTTGAAAGTGGTGTGATGAGAATGTGCAAGGTCGGGGTCATGTGGAGAGGGCACCCTTCCCACGAACAGTGACTTCTAGGCTGCTAGTGCATCGTGGAGCATGGCTGTCACCCGCAGACCACATGAAGCTCATTCAATGCTGCTCAGAGAGTGAAGCTGTGTGGGCATCGAGTCTGTCTGTGGGGTCAGCTCACCGAGCTCACTCATGGCAGTGGCAAGCAGAGTATCCTGGGACACCACGGAAGCATCCGCCTTACAGTCTGCATGTGTGGCATTGTTTTGTCTGGCAGGTGCCATACCTGGCGCAGTGGCCAGGCTGTCAAAGTGGCCATTTTCTGCGAAGGGCAGCAACTTCTGCGGAAGTTTGGGGGGTGCATACTCTTCATCGGGCTGCTCTGTCTTATGCTCTTCGTCGTTCTTCGGTGAGCCATCTACAATAACAAGGAAAGACTTCCATGGAGTATTCTTATCGTGGATCTACAAAACAAACAGGACAGAGTCACCAGATGTGCCTCCATAATCCCCCAATTTAGACACGCTTAACAAGGGTATCTTTTAATTCCATAAATTCCATTTCTGCTGCAGTGAAGCCCCATCTCATCAACAGCTGTCAAACATCTGCCTGGCACCAGTGCCACTGCTAGAAAGTGTCCAGTGTGGACTGTGCCTGCTGTCACCCCGCTGCCTCCTCCAGCCCAGCATTTCCCAGGGCGCCCGCTGTTTACTGAGGTGTGCCGCCGGAGGGTGGACTTGTCAGTGAATGTTCGTCCACACGCGTTACACATGAACGGCTTCTCTCCTGTGTGGATGCGACGGTGGCGCTGGAGGGCATTGAGCTGGGTGAACTGCTTCCCGCACTGGTCACAACAGTAGGGCCGCTCCCCTGTGATGGAAGAGGAGAAGTGACTGGGAGAGCGACCTCTTCACCTGCTGTGTTTACTGCTGAATACACTGTCCACCAGCCCTGGGAATCCTCAACTCTTGCAGCCACATAAGCCTAAGTCCAACAGTTTGAGGGACCAATCTGTCTGTGTCACACAGACTATGTTTATGCCAAAAGTGGGCCAAAATCTGTGCCTGCAGCTGGTATTCCATCTGTAGAGATGACACCTGTTTTCCACAGTAACAGAAGAAAACTGCAAGTCCCTAGTAACTACGTGTGAGTGTGTGTGTGTGTGTGTGTGAACATGTAGACAGTGGCCCCTGTGTATAATCCAAGTGTAGGACGTGCACAACTGTACTGACATTCACATCCCATCTCTCATTTCTGCAAAGGAATAAGGCTGGCCCCCATGTACACATAAGTGCTCCCACTTTTCAATTTCTCAGGGCCAGAAAATATCCAAAAAATGCAATTATGACATCAGAGTTTGGCCATTTTGGGGAGGTAAAGCTTCCAGATAGTTTCCTGGTAAATCTGAAACCTTGCAGCCACATCTCTTGTCACCTTGAACCCCCTCCCTGGGACACTGCAGCCCTACCTGTGTGGACTTTCACGTGCTGGTAGAGTGAGTTCCGCTGGGCAAAAGTCCTGAAACACATTTCACACTTATAAGGTTTGGAGCCAGTATGGATTCTGTTGTGGTGCTTTAAGTACTCCTTGGAAGCAAAACTCTTGCCACATGTTTCACACATAAAAGGCTTTTCACCTACATAGAAAGATGAAAGAAAATTAGAAACAATACTTAAGCATTAAAAGCAGGTGGGAAGGGCCAGGGATTTAGCTCAGTGGTTCTGGTGCCTGCCTCACAAGCGCTAGGTCCCGAGTTCGATCCCCGGTACCAAAAAAAAAAAAAAAAAAAAGGTGGGAAGAGTAGGTCTACGCTTACAAACCCATTGGTGGGTGGCACGTTAGACTTCCTAATTATCATAAAACATTAATTCACACAGGATGCTTGCTACTTGCTGAAAGTTGGTGTAAAACCTCCTTAGAAATCAAAGAAAATGTCAGCCAGCTCCCATTTTGGAAATGTAGTTACTCCCTATAAGGAAACAGCTTTACTTTACTTTGGATTGTTGAATTGTTTTTTTTAAAAGCACTTCTGAGGATCTTTATCCGAATAAAAAGATTCTTAAAATGAAAGTTTCTGTGGATATGTATTATACTTACTATACTACATTAGTATATTATATAAAGCTAGCTCTAGAAAGCAACCCCAGTCTCCAGACTGGACTGTAGGGCAAGAAAGAGTTTGTTTTGGTTTTGGTTTTTTGTTTTGTTTTGGTTTTTTTGAGGCAGGGTCTCCCTTTGTAGTTCAGCCTGGCCCTGAACTCACTATGTAGCCCAGGCTGACCTCGAACCTGCAGCAATCCTGCTGCCTCAGCCTCCCGAGTGCTGGGATTACAGGTGTGCACCACCATGCCCGGCAAGAAAGAGTTTAGTATCTCATGTTTTGCAGTTTCAGTCTTTTATTCTCATAGCTCAGACTCATATAATTAACAGGTGTGCTCCTGATTTCACAAAAAGCAAAATAAAAATGCTGGCTTTACTAAAACCTTAATACATTAAGTATCATCAAATGACTGATTCTGATTTGATTATTCCATGTGACCTGATATTGCCTCACCCCCACCTCTACTAGACCCCAATCCTGCTCATCTGCAGCATGGTCATTCACATTAAATGCACATCTCCATCTTGTCTGCATTTGAACTGACACCTTTATGACAGTGCTTAGAAGAAAAAAACGTAAGCAAAGGAACTGTAGAACAACCACGGCATACAACAGTTGGATTGTATATCTGTGTAGCTCACAACAGGATTCTGAGGCTCACAGACACTGCTGAACCAGAATAAAGCCAAATTAAATATTGCCCCTCTTATGCTCAGATTACATTGCACAGATTTGGGGAAACAGGAGATGATCCCACCACCTTAATATAACAATGGATCACGTAATGGTTTTCTTCTGGTCTTTTATGTATAGGTTTTCCATATAGTTGGGATTAACTGTGGGCTTAATTGAGCATTTTAAAATCCAACCTCCAAGTTCAGACATTTTGTGCCACTCAGAGCCCTTACTCTGAATGGCTAGGTTGTGAGCCAGGGCCTGCATCTGCCTCAGAGAGCTGACTGAACCACTTCATATGGCTGGACAATCAGGTCCAATTGGTTTACAATCTGTTAATAAAATGGCAAGAAGACAATAGCATACTGCTTCTGCCATATTTTGGACAATTTAAGGATGGATTCCTGGAAATAAGTTTGGTCCCTGGGACCTGTTTCACACCTCTGGACATGGAGACCCAGAGGCTAGAATCGTGCAGAGGCCAAGGCCCTGCAGGCCATGGTGATTTTTACTCATTTTTGCTCACTAGATAAGAAAGGTGGAGAGTAACTTCAACATGCACCTCTTGGCAGAGCCAGCAGTTTCCCTCCACAGCTAGGAAAGACAAGGTGTGAGTCACCGCAGCGTGGTATTTACCTGTGTGGACCCTTTTGTGGTAAATCAGCATGTGGTTCTGAGTGAATCTCGCCCCACACTCATCACAGACAAAAGGCTTTTCCCCTGTATGAATTCTGAAAGCACAACATCCAGATGGTGACTCAGGGTGGGTATCAAAGCTCACTCTGCAATACAATGTCCACTCTATCCTGCAAAAACCATCACCCTGGGGGATGGATTGAGAGCCCCAGTCTCTATCCCACAGCACCCGGAGCTTCTGTGCAAGGTCAGGAGGTGGGCACAGTGCCCTCTGAGTCCATACAGTGGACTGTGAGCCTTGCCCACTGTGCTCAGCTTATACCACTGGGCCTGTGCAGGGACTGTGCCCAAGCACCATCTAGTAATTGTGAACTTCCTCCTTTAGAATGATCAGCCACGGACAGCTTGGCAACAGTTGTTGACAAAATACCACATGGTTAAGACTTTCCCCTCATTTCTTCATATGTCCCATCTAGAAAGAAGCCGCTGCTCTCAAGGCGGGGGAGCCTGGGTCTGAGCAGTACGTCCAATCTTTCTAAGTTTGAAGCCACAAGCTGCAGCAGCTAGCCAGGCTTGACCACCCACATCCTAAATGAGATTTCACTTCCTACACTGAGGAGAGGAGCCTGCTGCCACCCCACTGTGGGCCTGGGAGTGGAAGCAGACCTAGGACAGCCAGCATAGGAACTTTAACCACTTAATTGGCTATGTGCTGGGAGCTGGGCAGAAACTTATTTGGAAACAAGACCACCAGCCCCTACAGCGCAAAAAACAAATTAACAGAAAACAGTCCTGATCCTGGACTAACCGGTTGCACCTTCTAAACACAGAACCAGCAGATATCATCTCACTGACATCTGTCCCCAGCTCTTCCTGGGGGCACAGAGGGAACCAGGTTGGATGTCCCTTGGGTGCTCCAGGCCTGCAGGACAAGCCCCGGGTGGCTGAGGACGGTGGGTCCCCTGCCCTTGGGCTCTGTAAAGGTGATGGGGCCATCTCCCAGTGCCTTGCCACCTCTGCAGAGAACGCACGCTGTCTCCAAGCCATCTCCCAACTCTGGCCAACTGGGGACCCAGCAAGCCACCCCACCCACACATTGCACCTCATGTGGGTCTTGAGCGCTGAGGGTTGTGAGAAGCGCGCGCCGCAGTCAGGGCAAACATGCGGCCGATCTCCTGTGTGCGTGCGCTCGTGCAGGCGCAGGGCCGTCTTTGAGCTTAGGCCCTTGCCACACTCTGCACATCGGTGGCGTGCACCTCCGCCCTCGTGCACATGCAGCACGTGCCGCCGCACGTCCTTCTGGCGCTTGAACTTCTTCCCGCACAGCTCACAGGGGAAGTGGCGCTCGCTGCTGTGCACGAGGAGCTGGTGATTCCGGAGGTTGCAGCGGTTGGCGAAGGTCTGGCCGCAGGTGTCGCAGCGGTACACCGCCTCGGTGGCCACACCATGGTGCTGCTGGACGTGCTTCAGGAAGCTCTTCTCATACAAGAAGGCCTTGTCGCAGAGCGTACACTTCAAGTTACTCTTCTTTCTGCCCTCCTCGCCGTCGTCGCCATCGCCCTCAGCCTCCTTCCCAGGCCCTGCTGCCCTTTCCCTCTGTAGTGCTCCCTCCAGCTCCCCCGCACCACATCCCTGGCTCCCTGCTGCAGCAGGTGCCATATCTGTGGACGGGATCATCTCGGCATCCAGCTTTGTCTCTGCAGCTGCCTCCGTCTCTGTGACCACACTGCCTTCAGGCTGCTCCTGGGGACACACACAATCCCCCACAACTGCGTCCTCGGCACTCTTCTGCTGCTCTCGGAGTCGTCTTGTGTATTTCTTTTTAGGGATTTCCACAAACACCTTTCTCCCAGCCAGCCTTCCACTCGCTCTTCTGATTTTAGGGTAGGGAGGTTTGGCCACATCTCTCTTCTTGTCTAGCTTTTCCTTGGGCTTCCTCGCTGGCATATCTGGTGACAAGCCATTGCTGAGCCCGTCCTCTGAGTGATCTGAGGAGCCCAGAAGACCGTTGCAATGGGCACTATCCCCGGCCACACTTGCTCTAGAGTCTACAGCAACATTGGCCAGGGGGCCACTGTTGGCTTCAGCCTTCTGAGACTCCGAGAAATTCTGCAATTCCAAAAGGACCGACTCTAACATCTGCTTCTTTAATTGGAAACAAGTTTCCGACAGGTCCAAACACTTGAGCTTTTCTGCCATCTCCAGCATCCGCTCCACCCGGTCTTCCTCCACCTGAACCTTGGCAGTGTAGACAAACTCAAGAAACGAAGCAAAGTCGACCACCTGCACCTCATGTAAGTACACGTTAGTCCTGGTCCCATCCATACTCTTCTCATTCAGGAACATATCCTTAAAAAACTTGCTGGTGGCTGCCAGCACCGCTTTGTGGGCCATGAAGTCTTCTCGTACACCCTGGTACTCCACGCTGATGGTGACGTCACACAGGTGGCCAAGAAGGCGGAGCTTGTGCATTTCCCGAAGCAGGTGAAATGGGGAGGATTTGGATTCCAGCAGAACCGTGCCACTTTCCATCTTTCTTCTTTCCAAACAGCTTTGAAAACAAAAGAAGAATTACATCAGGCAAGTATAACCACCAAAGCAAAGGGACTGGAAATTAGGAAGGTTACTTCAGTTCCTGGAAGGACTCGAGCAGACTGACAATATCACCTGTCTTGTGTGAAGATGCAAATAACATTCTACTTCCTAGTTCCTGCTACATTTTCACATTTGCACAGAAGCAGTCTTGGCAAGATTTTCCCCATTGATAAACATGAATGACTAATGTTATGACTGGCAAAACATAGCAAAGTAGTAATTTGCTTATCAAGGTCATTTGTCATTTGCTCACAGGCACACCCAAAACTGTAATAGAATTTATGGCAACAATCATGTCTAGTTCATTGATCAGGAAACCTGATAACTGAAATAAGACATGCGGCTGCCAATGTGTGGACACCTTATGCAATCATTTCTGCCTCTAAAAACAACCAACTAAATAAAGCACAGCTTTCCAGGAGGAAAACTTCTTGAAAAGTCGTCTGCAATCCCATCCCCATTACAATACCCTAAACACCTTGTACAGTGGTACCTCAGTTCACAAACGCTTTTTGTTTGCAAACAACTTGGCTTGCAAACAGAAGCATTTGGCAAAATTGTTTTTGTTTGCAAACTCTGCATTGGGTGACAAACACGACCGTGGCCATCTTTTCCAAAATTGTGGAACAAATTAAGTTCATGAACCAAGGTACCACTTAACCTGAATCATGAGTACTCTGTGGAAGTCATACAAGTCCACAGCTATTAGCATTGTGTTACTGGAGCAAGGGACAATGTCTGAGGCTGGGCTTCCTCTGATGGCAGGCCCACAGGTGAGAGTGTTGTCAACCAGCAAAGCGTGTCAAATGCTTACAGCCACCTGACTCCTGCAGCTTCCCCTGAACAGGCGGAGGTGCCATTCATTGTGATCCCATTCCACAGATGTGGAACTAACAAGGGAATGGTAAGTGCAGGTGGGGACAAGAGCCCTGGAAATTCTCAGCAGAGCTACCATCACACCCTTGCTCCTCCCATTGCACCAGGGCTCCCAGTGTACCTACCGCACCTTTGCTCCTTCCACTTTATTTGTTTTGTTTTGGTACTGGGGATCGAACTCAGGACCTTGCGCTTGCGAAGCAGGCACAGTGCCACTGAGCTAACTCCCCAGTCCCGCTCCTTCTACTTTGTTTGGAGACCCTTCAGGGTATGGTTTCTCCTTCAGATTCACCCGCCTTCTGCTCCTGAGCCCACCTTCCTCTTACAAGGCTCCTGGGTCTATGTCTTCACCCTCCAGAGCACTCACTTTCCTTCCAGCCTCCTTCCCCCAGATTTTGGATGTCACCTAGCATTGCACACATGTAGCACAGAACTCCTGTCACTGTCTGAAGAGCCAGTCCCACCCTTCTTCCCATTAAAGGTGCTGTCCACACAGCCCCCACCTATAGAGGAGGCTTGTGGTGTCCAAAGTGCGAGACAGTGTCAAGACCTGAGTGAAGGATGGGCCACCAGTGACCCCAGCCCCAGCCAGGGGTCAACAGACGGCAGACCCTGTTTTCCTGATGCCCATGTGGCCAGCTCTAAGTCCTTGAGGCTGGCCCTCCAGGGAAGTGAGTCCTCATAGGACAAGCGGGCTCTGAGTTAACATTCCCAGCTTGCTCTGGGCAAATGGGCACTGGTCATGGTCAAGGGCCACCTGCAGCCTGGGGACAGCGTCTCTCATTGCAACTCACCCCATGTTGGCACCTCCTACAATATGCACTAGTGTCCTCTCAGAGCCAGGCCTTCCATCCCCAGGGGACCCTGCCCTGCATGGTGCCCCCAGCTTACGAGGCCAGGCCTTCCCCAGGGGACTGCTCTATGTGGTATCCTCAGCTCACGGGGCCAGGCCTTCCATCCCCAGGGGACTCTGCCCAGCACGATGTCCCCAACTCACAGGACCAGACCTTCCCCAGGGGACCCTACCCTGCGCAGTGTCCCCACCTCATGGGGCCAGGCCTTCCCAGAGGGCATTGGCCTGCGCGGTGTCCCCAGTAATGGGGCCAGGCCCTAACTCCCCGGGGACCCTGCCCTGTGCGGTGTCTCCAGCTCATGGGGCCAGACCTTCCCTCCCCGGGGACTCTGCCCAGCGCGGTGTCCCAGGATCAGGATCCAGTTGTGCATCTCGCCCCGCCGAGTTTGTATTCAGGACTAGTACCGGGCCGCACACTCACCTCCGCCGGGGCCACCGCCACCATACCAGGCCCTGAGCTGCCGCCGGCGGGGCGGGGCGGGCCCGACTAGACTGGCGCTGATTGGCCGACGTGGTCCCCGCCCCGCCCCGACAATCCCCGCCCCTCGCGCTCTGGGACGGAGCTGCGTGCGCACGTCCGGCTGCGGTGGACGCTCGGGCGGAGCTACGTGTGCCAACGTGCGCTGGGCGGGGCGACTGGCCAACCTTGTGGGATTACGTCAGCGCTGCCACCACGGCTCGCGCCTGCGCAGGAAGCAACAGAGGGCGGCTCAGGGCCTGAGGCGGAGCTGTTGGAGGCACGCGCACGCGCGTACCCGCTGTTCTGCGCGTTCCTTGCCGCGGCGACTGGACACCGTAGCTCCTAGCTGGCGTGCTGCGGGTGGCCCGCGGCCGGTCTCCCGCAGGGGGCGCGGAGGGCGGGTCCGTGCCCTACTGGGCACCTGCAGTCTTCCCAGTCTTCGGTCCAGGCTCGTGGACGGAGCCGCCCCACAACGGTTCCACTGGGTGAAATGCAGCTGCTGCCGGGAGGCTCTCCAGCCTGCTGTTTGCACCCAGTCCTTAATCCTAACTAAACCTTCTACGAAACATCGGCTAAGGTTCAGTTTGCCTTCGCAGCACATGGCTGATCTTTCCTTCCTGCGGCCGCTGCGCACTGTCTTACCAGCCCGTGTCGGGGAGAGAGAGAGAGAGAAAGACAAATGCAAATTAAAATTGAGCTTAACTCGCCCTGTTGGAAGTGCGAGGGTGCCCTAAAGGCTCACTGTAGGAATCGTCTCGAACAGGAAACTGCTAGCCCCAGTGCTGCTTCACAGCCTACGACGAGGGCAGCTCTGAAACGCGAGTGCCAGGGGGACAGCAGCCCAACTGACGTGGAGTGCGTCGCCTCAAGTCGCAAAACTTGCCTCCTGTCGCAAAGAGTTTGTCCCCCCCCCTCAATAAAGCCCATTGGTCAGCATAGGGCCACCCCTGCCTCGCAGAGTTAGCGGAGCCGGGTGGCTGAGCTGCGCCCCAGCCCGGAGCCCGCGGTGTGGACAGGCGGGCTGCGTCTGCAGGCTCTCAATGGGCCGTGTGAGCGCCGCCTCTAGTTTGATGCGTTTCCTTGTGGGGAGGGTTGAGTTGGACATTGTTTTCCCTTGTGTCTCCCCTCCAGGCAGGACCCTCGAGCCGGCTGTCCACACAGCAGAGGCCCCGTAAATCCATGAGGAAAGATTGGCCGGCGTCTCTGCTGAGGAAGACTCGGCACTGTGGTCCTTGACTCCAGGAGACGGCAAAATCGCTTTTCACCGGTGCTCAGCAGGCCTGGAGTTGTTTTAATGACTTGCCTTACGAAAAGGTGGCCAGCTTCTCCAGCGTATTGGCCATTTGTGTATCTCTTATGGAGAAATCTATTCAGATTCTTTGTCCATTTTTAAATTGAGTTGTAACTATTGAGTGTGATAGTCTTTTTATATTTTGGATAAAAAGTACCTTCCCAGTGTAGCAAAAGGCAGCTTCTAGGCAGGAAAAAGACAGGTTTTATTTAAAAATTAATGGGAAATCTTACTGGGGGCAGCTTCTGCTTCTATAGGTAGACTCTACAGTTAGAGCAATTCGAACGACAGAGACAGACAACACCCAGAGAGGCGCCCACCATGAGAATTTATCAGAAAGAGTTAACAAAGCAAGGAGGAAGCCAGAAACTTGAAAGAACAGGGAAATCAGCCCCCTCATCCACCTCTGATAAAATGCAAAAGAGACAAGATGGCAGCCACCTAAGGACTCTTATTTAATATTTAAAAGACACACCCCGATACATACTTATATGTATATTCTCAGTTTAGCATCACTATTCCTCCACCAGATATATACCTGTCCCCTTTGCTTGGTCATTAACTCTAAGTTACTTTATAAGCATCCCCATCCATCGCAAAAGGGCAGAAAGGTATCAAAGGCCAGAAAGAATCTAGACAGAAGTGCCAGGTTAGGATCAAAGGCAGCCAGACAGCCAATCAGATGGATGGTGAACTTCTGACACATGAGGGATGGAAGAAATCACTAGTCCTAAATAAAAAGAGACTGAGGATAAAAATCCACGGGTACTCACTTCTGATGCTCCCTATTCTTCCAAGGTAGCTATCTATCTTCTTTTTTCTGTCTTTTCCGAAATAAACAGTCTTATAAAGTCTGCCTCTTTAATTCATTACTAAAGTTGAGAGTTTACAATTATGGCAGGATCCTGGTAATGTTCCAGCAGAGCAGTGGTGTGGCATGGAGTGGCATGCTGTACACCCCTCCCAAGACATGACACCAGGTGCATGATTCAAAAGCACCATCTCCCCTCAGCAGGGGCCCAGGCCCCTTGTGGGCAACACAGTATGGGTGGGCAACACGGTATTTGGTTCCTGTAGGCCCTTCCTCCCCACCCTGAAGTCCTTCTGAGGGTCATATGTTGGGGTAAAACTAGTCTTTAGCAGGCAGGGGCAGGCAGCTGGGGGCTACCTGAAAAACAAAGGAGATGAGATTTTTCTTTGCTTCCTTAACCATTAACTATAGCTAAAATTGCTACAAGCTTGTAGTTTCAAATTTACCTTGAGAGGATGTGAAATCCTTTAAGTGTACAGATATGGTCCAGGCCATATCAGGCTTAGACTGTTGTTGAGGGTTGGGAAAATCTTGGGATCTCAAAATTAAATGGGGGCTCCACATAAGGAGTGAACAGGGACCCCTCCCAGTAGGTGCACATAATGTATTCTGTTTGTGTAACAGTAACACAGCTAGAGATGGCCACAGGAATGGGGAGAGACAGATCCTGAGCCCTCACCTGATGTCCATTAAAAGCAGGACTTGCGTTTTCTCCTAGGACAGCCAGGGATTTAAACACCATGAACCTTAACTCTTCACCTGGGCCTACAGATACCCACTAGGTAACTAAAAGCAAAACAGTGCTCTGCATGTGCATGTGTTAATCATTTAAGGAGTGTGTGTATAAAAGTCTACAAAACAAGCTGGGTCAGCCCTGAGTTTACATAATCTTACCCCCCCCCACACACACAACTAAAGACACTAGGATGGGCAATTTCCAGGGACATCTAACTATGCCTGAGAAGTGTGCACCACTGTCCCAAACTTGGGAAGGAAACCATCTCCGATCATAAAGACTCCAGAGCTGTGACCCCAGCCCACCAGCTACCCTGAGAAGCTGGCCTCCCTCCCACCTTTGGAGTGGGCCAGGCTGACCCCTATGTCAGGGTGTGGCCCCTCCAGCCACCTGAGCTGGAGTCCTTCCCTATGTTCTAACTTTCCAATTAAAGCTTTTTTTCCTGTAAATTGGTATGTCACTTTTATTTCCATTATTACTAAATGTGAGGACCCCAGTTAATGGCAACACCTCCTGCTGGAGCTGCCTCCTCCTCTCAGGACAATGTCTGAGGTGTCTGTTGAAATAAAGACTTGCTGCTTTAGTGGTCCCGGAAACCTGCCCATGAATTATTTCTCAGCGTGTGGGCTCCTAAAGTCCTGTAAATCTACTCAGGGTTCTTGAAAAATGTGGACAGAGTGGTTGTTCCCAAAGAAAAGGCAATAAATATTCAAAGCTGTTAAGGCCAAAGAGTTCCAGAGACCAGCAGCCAACGAGGACCAGCAGCACAGACCAGGACCTGGCAGGGTGACCTAGAGCAGTGGTGGTGAACCTATGGCATTTCCTTTTCAAACAAAAGATGTTATTGTAGGAGTTGTTTTTTCTAAACTAAAACCTCAGTATTCGGGTTTAATTGAAGTGTTGGCACTTTGCAATAAATAAGTGCGTTTGAGGTTGCAGTATGGGCACTCGTCTCTAAAAGGTTTGTCATCCCTGCGCTAGAGTCTGGCACAAGCCAAGAGCAGAAGGCAGAGGCCAGTAGTGGCAGTGACCAGCAGCTGGCTGTGTCAACTATTGGCATCCAGCATTATCCTGTATCATCTGGTGACATCAGGACTGCCAGCAGAGATGCATTTGTCATCCTATGATTTCCCCCTGAACTGAGCAAAACCGTGGACTGATGGGCAACAGAGGAACCCAGGCCATCAAGAGTGTGCAAACCCCAAAGGCCACAGACATCTGCAGGACGTCAATGCAAGGAAGCAGCGTGCTTGGGCATAGTAACGGTAGAGGTGGATGGACTGCCACTGCCACACAGTGGATTGGACCAGGCTCAGCCACAGGGGACCGCTGAGCCTCTGCTGCACATGCGCATGCGTAAGAACGTAGCGCAGCATAGCGCTAACCTGTGTTTAGCTCAGGCCAAGTGGTCACTGTACACAGTGGGGCAACACCACGCCAGGAGCCCCTGCTACACAGAGGTGATGGGCACTGACTAGAGAGGTGACTGCATAGAAGAGAAAGTCCCAGAGAAAACAAAACAAAAACATGGTTTGGGAATAAATTCAGCATAAAATAAATGCAAATAAAATGTTAGAAAGCCTAATAGCAGAGCCAGGCTTGGTGGTGCACGCCTGTAATCCCAACACTCGGGAGGCTGAGGAAGGAGGATCGCTGAGAGTTCGAGGGCAGCCTGGGCTACAAATTGAGTTCAGGGCCAGCCTGAACTACAAAGGGAGACCCTGCCACACATACAAAAAAGTCTAATAGCAGGGAAATGTTCACCTTGGCCCGGGTAAAGACAGCTACACTATTTCACATAGCTTCTGGTTTAAAAATAAGACTCCAGAAACAGAGTAGAAAGAAAATTTACCAAATTCTCAACACTAAAACAAACATGAAAATGCACAACACAGCCCAGGGCTTCTGGCCCCGCCCACCTAGGCCTTCTCCCCACCCACCGGGGCGCTCACGCCCACTCCTCCCCCAGGTCGAGGTTTCCTCTCTAGGAGACCTGAGCAGAGTTGGGGTTCCGGGGTCACGCAGTGCATGCGTTCTCAGTTGATATTCTAATTGGTCCTGGGCGGTCGCTGTGGGATGACGTCTACTTCCTTGGCCGGGAGTAGGCGACCAGATGCGGGTTCTTGGGCTGGTTCTCCTCTGGAGGTGCCGTTGTTCCCTGGCGTCCCTGGCATCTGGGCAGCCCCGCCGGCGGCAGCCTGAGTGGGCGGAGACTGCGAGGGGACAGCGGGGGCGGGCACTGGCCGGCAGCTTTCCTGCGACGGCGCCACAGGCTCAAAGGCTGCAGATTAAGCAACGCCCCTCCGCGGGAGAGAATTAGGCTGCACCGCGGTGTTAGTTCTAGAGTTCGCTTTTAACACCTCGCATGTCTTTTTCTCTGCTTTAAATTTGGAGAAATTATCACCACTTTGAAGATAAACCATCTCTCATAAGCTTAGTTGGTGATTTTTAATTTTTTTTTTTGGTACCAGGGATCGAACTCAGGACCTTGCTCTTGGGAGGATTTTTAAATTTTTAAAATGAATATGTTTTCATGAGAGCCCAGTGTTTCTGTGCACCCTCTTCCTGGAGACGTCTGTGTTATGTTGCTCAGCTTGGCTGTTCTGTAGTAGATTCCGACAATCCGAATGTCCTTCCTTTCTGGCTCTTGAAATACATTTCTAATTCTTCGAATTAGAGATTTTAACTTAAAACAGAAGAGGTGCATGGCATTAAAAATGCAAAATTAGGTTAGCCAACAGCTAATGCCTTGGCCCTACATTTAAATCCTAGAAGCCAAGCCCAAGCGACAGCCCTCTTTATTTTTTGGCCAGTGCTTCCAGAAAATCTATGCATACATAGCTAAATAATGAAATGTCATTTTTTTTTAACTCACAAACCAGTTTCCTCATTTGTAAAATGAGGTTGAAAATAGTGCAAAGCCGGTTGAGTGGTTCTTGGGATGTCCTGGCTGCCTGTGATAAATGTAAAATGTCCTTCAAAGAATGAACTTTGCTTTTCTGACCACGGGTGGATTGGATGGTTCCTTATCATTCACGTCACATAAAGTTCTACCTCTTGTTTTCAAACCTGCACAATAATCCCTCCTGTGGCAACATAATTGCTGGAGTCTCTTACTGGGGACCTTTAGGGGACTCTATTTTCTTATCAAGAATGCTGTGACGAATGGCCTTATGTGAAAGTTGTGGTGTGTGTGAATCCAACTCCGTGGGTTCTTGTGCTTTCTTTCAGGCTCAGAAACAAGGTGCTTTCTCTTTGCAAAAGGGGGAAAGAGGGGGGGCAGGCTGATCCAAACTGCCAGCAGGGGCTGGGGATTTAGCTCAGTGCTTCCAGTGCCCGCCTTCCAAACCACTGGCAAAAGTGTGCAGCTTTTATGTCACCTGTAGGGTGGGAAGGGCCTGGTCTCTTGATGCAGTCACACGTGGAGATAGAATTTAAATTGTGCTGGATCTCTTTTTTGTCATCCCTCCTCAAGTGACAAGTCTCATTGCCATCTTAAGTCCCCACCTTGGAGTGTGATTTTTACTATGCTAGTAAAGGTAGAGGCTCTTCTAAGCATCCCTGCCACCTGGAATTTGCTCCTTATCATCTGAGAAATTCCTAATTGGGTTTGGAGCAGGGAAGATCACTCCTCAGCCTCCATGGGTTTGACTTGAATGGTCTTGTTTTTCTTGGCTCTTGTTTCTCGATATCTCTGCTGACAGAGTAATCTTTGAGGCTGAGCGGCTTCCATCCTCCCATCTGCTGGTGTGGTGTGTTATCTTCACTCTGTAGCCTTGAAGATGCTGGTGTTTTTTTTGTTTTTTAAAAACTGTTTCCTGGTATGTTTGTTAGCCCCACGAGACTGAGAGGTAGGCTAGCCGTCTCCTGTGTATCAGGTCAACTGCATCTGTAAGCCATGTACACAGTCTTCTTTTGGTGTCAGCGCGGGATTGTTTCAGGAACCCCTTTTGTGTACTCCAAACCATAGATGCTCACGTCGTTCATGTAAAGTGTGGTAGTATTTCATAAATCCTATGCACATCCTCTTATATACTTCAGATCACTCCGAGATTACTAATGAATGTAATCAGTAAATGTAAATCCCTTTGTAATAGTTACGTTGTATTGTTTAGGGTTAGGGTATAATGAAGAAAAAGATTGTACATATTCAGATGCAATTTAAAAATATTTTCTATCTGCAGTAAGTTGAATACTCAGATATGGAATTTATGAACATGGAGAGCTAACTTTTCGTAAAAATGGATTCACCAGGGCTAAATGGGTGGCTTTTAAATGTCACATGTCCTCAGAACTTGCCATAATCAG